CCACCAGCCTCCAGCCCCTCGCACTTGCTGCCCCGTCCGTGTCGGGCCGGCGGCTGCGGGAGGGCCGGGCCGGGAGCGGGAGGCAGGGGCTTCACCCTCGACATCGCTCTCCCCGCCCAGCGGCTCCGGACTGCAGCTGCCCCCGGACCCCACGTTTCCCATCCACAAGCGGCTCCTTTTCTTTCAACCGTGGATTTTTTTCCCCTGGGAAAACGCCTGTTCAGGCATGGGGTGGGGGACTGTTGCCCCAAAGTCATTGCAGAAAGTTGCTTGGGTCTATGGGGAGAGGTGAGGGTCGCCCAGGGTGGTTGGTCTTTCCCTGGGTCAGAGCATGTCTCATCCTCCCAGCTACCTTTGGGGTGTGAAGAGCCCTTCCTCAGGCCTTTTGGATTCCCCTCCTGGGCATTCGGCTCCCAGGAGAAGCGTGTTTCAGGGTTTTAAAAGAAAAGCATTGACAAAAAGTGCTGTTTCCCTACTGGGCAGGGGGAGGGAGTAAACTTCTGGCTGGTGTTGGGGGTCTCCAGCCTCACCTGGTACAAGGGAAAAGGATGCATTGGCATCCTTGATCAGGTGGCTCTGGCTGCCAGAACAAGAGGGTGCCTAGGATCTTGCCTGGGGCTGATCTGGCCCAAGGGCTTTCTTGGCACCTGGAAATGCTAATTCTGAGCTTCTTTGGGAACACAAGAGTATTGGCCAGCAAGGAGGGGCAGTGCCAGCCTGCATCTGGGATATTTCCCTTGGATCCTGTGTACCCCACTTCCAGTAGTGCTGCTGGTGAACCTTTCCATTTGGGAAATGATGCTATTTTGGAGGGTTTATGTTTGCCCTGCCATCCTGCTTTGGGAGCAGGGAGCAAAAGCAAAAAAACCTTTGGGGAAATTATATTTTCCATTTGTGGATGAGTTGCTCTCTTGAAAATCAGCAGGAAAGCATCTGCAACCAGTCCCAGTTGCAGCAGCTAGTGGGCCCTTGGCCGCCATGGTGCAGGGTTGGAGGGCTCTTGTTCTGCCCCAGCCTGCAGACTAGCTAGTTTCTCACACATCTTGTCAAAGGAAAGAGAAAGCCTTCATGAGCCACGGCCCCAAGCAGTAATAAACCTTTATTAGGCAGAGTCCTTGAACAGCACAGATCGATAGGACCCTCCCTAGCCACCCCAACTCGCTGAGCAGGGAATTCCCAGCCAGCTGCCTTGTGGATCATGCCAAAGTGCTTTTTGTGAAAAATCTGGGTTCTTTGGGAGAATGAAAATCTGTTTGTCCATCCCCCTCCCAAGACAGTAATCTGCAAGGGAGGGGACAGGAACATACGCAGAGATAAAAGGGAGAAGGGAAGGAGGGGTAGCCAGAGAGGCAGGTATAGCATTGGTGCAGAGCACAGCCCCTGGGATGGCACAGACTCCTACTTTGATGTGTGGGTTGGGAGAGCCACATGCTAGCTCTGCTCAGGCCGGCACAGGCTTCTCGCAGATGTAGTGACACTCGTAGGTGCAGGACACATCATTCCATTCTCCAAAGGTCCACAAGTGGGCACAGTCCTCACGTGTGCCACTGTCGTTAGGCTCTCCTTTCTTCCAGAACCTAAATAGAGGGGTTGGCACAGGGCATGAGAAATGAGGGCTAAGGTTACAGCAGGAGGGGCCCCTGACAGCCTTGAAGGCAGCCTTCCCTGGGGCTTCCTTTGGTTCAGGCCATCAGCCTCACATGCTACGTAACCTCTGCTCACTGGACCCTTTTGCTTTCCCCAGCCATGTTCCACCCAGCACAGCACAGGTTACAGCAGAAAAACGGGGGTTAAGAAAGGGGACTTACGTGAAGCCGTTCATGTAGTCAGTCCCGTCGATCCACTCCCATTTCCCTTCCGTGTTTAGATCTGTGAGTCCAAGCCAGTAGCGCTCCCTGCCTTGCATCCTGTATGCAAGGAAATTCTGCAGTCGGAAGGTGGTGGGAGGCGAAGGAAAAAGCACAAGGACTTATCATCTCATGTATACATGGTGCTTCCATTTCCATTGCTACAGTAGACTCTGAGCAGGGAGGGGATGCGCTGTGTATGTACCATGCTCCATGGGCCTGTGCCACATTACACACATGTAGTACCATAACACAGCACAGAACACAGGCCAGGTGTGTCGTGTCCCCCTCTTGTGGTGGGTGCACAGAGAATAAGAGTCTGCTATTGTTAATAGAGCTGCCCCTTTGGCTCAAGCAGCTGAGGCCTGCGCTTTGGAAGGGACTGATCAAAGCCAGTGACCTTGACAAGCATTGTCACACATCCTACTGGGAACATACATGATTGTGCTGTGGAGCTGCCTAGCCAGCAATATGCAGCTTAAGACATGTCCCCTGGGGATGTGCAGGGTGAGGAAAGGAGTGGAACAAGCCTTCCCCTTCCTGGCTCTGGTGACTTTACCTGTTCAGCCAAGTTGTTAATGACAACCAGCTGGGAGTGTAGCTCCTTGCACTGCTTCTTCGCCTTGCCCCAGTCCATCTCTTGCAGTGAGAAGTAATAACACTTCCCATTGAAGTACCTCCACTCTCTGCTCTCTGGCCCGCAAGGGAACACTGGAGAAAGGAGGGAACAGGTGAATGTGAGACACCAGCCAGGTTGACACTGCACCATACCAGACTCACTTGATGGTGAGGTCCCAACCAACACCAGACACAGGTTTCATTGGAACACAACAGCATAACCCCTGACTCTGAAAAACACTAGTTTCCCACAAACGTAGTGATTACTACCCAAAACAGCCCATTCTAATGGCTACAAAGACTCCCTTTTTCACTAGAAAAGTATGTCGGAAGCCGAGACCTTCAGTACTGGGTCAGTGAGCCACAGAGTATTGCTTTCCCTGCAGGGCACTGGCAACTGTGGGGTGGGGTGGGTGTTTTTACATAAGGAGCTGCCCTCAATTCCAAGGCACCTGGAGGAGATCAAACAGGCCAGTCTGCTGCATGGTTCCTAGAAGAGGCATCAATCAGGGTAGAATCAGCAGGGCAGATCCAGAGAGGAGGGCACAGCCGGGGTCAATCAGTGCAGTGAGAGCTGGGGGAAAGGGAGTGTTAAGGATGCCTGGCACTTACACTGGTAGTCCTGGCTGGAATGGTTCCGTTTCAGCTGCGCTTGCTTCTTGTGGAGTTCAGAAGAAACCGATGAAACTAGCATCAGAGAGAGAAGACGGGCCCAGTTACTGGACCTCACAGTGGTCCCATTCTCTGCAACAGCATTACTTCACTTCCAAGATATGACCTATCTGGAGACACCTGCGACATGTGCTAGAAATGCTTTTTATTCAGGCTTCATTTAACACACCGGGAAAACTTAGGCCGCACCCCTGCAATAATCTGCAGGGCAAGACACCCCTAGGAAATGAATATGAACTTGTTCTCCAGAGCTTCCAGCAGATCTCAGAACATTCACTGGGAAATGGAAATGCCTTGGGATACAGGGGGGAAAAATCCAAAAGACCCCTTCCCCACCACCAGAGACTAATCTGTTTTGTGCAGGTTTTCAGGCAGCGCAGTCTCCAGTCACTGGCTGGCACTACCTTAGTCAACATGAGCCCACACTGGTCATGTGTTGTTTATTCTTTCCTTCTCCAGAGAGCAGGGACTATCCCATGAGTGTCTAGGTAGGGCCCAGTGCTCTGATGTTCTTGAATGGGAGTGTTTTGATATGAACAACCACCAGGACAGAGAGGGCATTAGCCTCAGAGTTAGAACCCAGGAGTCCAGGGCACCAGACCCCTTATTTCTTTCTGTCCTCAAATGCCTACTTAATGAGTAGTAGGAGATACTTCAACCCCCTAAAAACATGGTACCTTTGGAGAGTGACACCCCAAACAGGATCAGGGTCAACAGGAGAGAGAGCGCCAGCAGCAAGTAGACTGGGAAGAAGGAGCGCAGCTTTTGCTGGAGGAAGTTTCTGTCTTTAAAACAGATGAAGCAGATTCTGAAAGCACCACAACGGAGGCCTGCATTGACTCAGGGCGACCAGCCCTCCCCTGTCCCATTTTGATATGTGTAGTTCACATATGGTTTGTAACATTTTAGTAAATGATTCTAGAAACATTTGACCACTTCTTATAGAGGCTGAAAGTTCACTTAAACCTACAACTATAGCTTTTCCTATGAGTTATTTTTATTTACTGGTAGTTTGACTACATGCAGGGGCCTTACTCCAGACCCAGGACCCCATGTGCCAGGTGTTGTACAAACCCTAAACAAACCTGATTCCTGCTATAGAGCACTGTAAGCTAACACCCAGTCATACCACATACCTACAACTCACATACTTAAAAAGTCCAGTGGCCATTTGATCCTTTATAAATGACGGAAACATTATAACCATGTCTAGCATGCAGTACTTGGTGTGTGTTTAATGTTCCAAGCTCATTAAACCCAACTAATTAACCATTAAACCAAGCTTTCAGGGGGTGACTCATGGCTTGGGAAACCCTGGTTTCCATGTGCCCAATTTCATATACCCTAAGGGGGTGCTGATTTCAGAGAAGGGTCTGCACAGTTCTTTCCTTCTGTGTAGCTCAGGTTGGATGCCCCAGTCATTGAGTCCTGCTTCAGAGCCATAACCTCTCTGCAGCAGGATGAAGGTCCCTCATCCCTCTCAGGGTCAAGGTGGTTGTTGTCTTTTAACTGAAGATTGCAGCTCCTACCATGGCAGGAGTCCTCACCAAACAGTCCAGACCATTGGCATAAATTAGCCAGACTGACAAAGAGGTAGTAGCCCCATTCTTCCAACCCCTAAGAAAAGTGGGGCACATTGGCAGGTCAGTCCTTGCCCCCAGCTCCATTCCTGAGCTATTGTGTAGATGGGAAGGGAGAGAGGGCATTTACCTTTAAAAAGGTGCAGCTCATCCTGAAAACTTTCCTCATCCATTCTGGTGAACAGTGTCTGGAAGGCAGAGGGAGGGCAGCTCTGTATGGCCTTGGAGTATGGACAGAACGTGTGGGGCCACGTGGACTGGAATACCAATGACAGAAAAAATTAAATTCCACCTGTGATATTAAATCCAAAGGTTAATTTATAACCAGCAGTGGTCAGTCCACATACCCATTTGCTTGCTCGGTAGCTGTAGCACTTTGGATCCCTTCCATGTCCAGCCTGGTTTCAGCCTGAGACCTCTTTGCCAGACAACTGGCCTGTCCTTTTTTCCTCAGAACTTTTGGTGGATTTTAAATTGTACAGGAATGAAAATACAGGAGGCCCCATTCCTGAAGCTGCTTCCCTTAGGCACATGAAAAAAAGTCAGACGAAGTAAAGTAAAAGGGCAGAGTGAACATAGAAGTTGAGTTTGGAAAACAGAAGGATGAGCCTGTTTTGGAAGAAGACTGCAGCACTCCTGACCTTTGGAAACCAACTGCTAAACATGCCTAGAGTGTGTCCTAGGCTATGTCCCAACTGACTGCTTACACAGCAAACACATGGGCTTTGCTCAGATGATCATGGCAAGGGGGTACCCACCTCCCACACCAGCTCAAAGGGTCTTGGTGTTGAGCCACAGCTTATGTGTTTAAGAACCATACTCACAGTGTAACTTTGTGAGGTTTCATCACAGCAGTGTCAGGCCACCCTTCCAACAAAATAATGCCAGGTGCTGCACTGCTTGTTATTACATGGCTATTTTTGGGCTATTTCTATTGGCCGAGTCAAATTGTGGTAGCACTTTAGGACCCCAATATCAATCAGAGACCTGTTGTGCCAGAAGGCAATGGCCAGAGACAGTCACAGGTTACAGGGCTCACATTCTAAATAGACACATAGCTTGTGAGAAGGGAAACAGAGGTGGGAAGCAACTTGCCCGGGGTCATAGGATGCTGAGCCAGACAACACAGCTGTACTTACAATATCTGTGAGTCTGGCAGCACAGCTTTTGACTTCTGAGATAGCCAAACTCCAGAAATGAATGGGGTAAAAGTATCCACCTGTTGACTAATAAAACATACCATTGCTGTTCCCTATCACTTTGTGCTTAGCAATTACAGGCTCTGCAAGGACTCTGGAAAACTAAGAAGTCACAAACGATAAATATGAAATAATGCCATGCAGCCGGATTTGCAAGCATCTCTGTACAAACAAGTTTGTAAAGAACATTCAGATCTTGGAGTCTCAGCCTTGCCCACTGACTTGTGGGTAGAGTTTGACTTTGCTGTGTTCTTGCTTTCATTGTTGTTAATTTGAGTGTTAAATTGCCATAAATGAAGAGCCCGGACACTGCTGAAGTTCTAAGACAAGAACCAATGATTGAATCCACCGTTTATTTGAGCTTCAAATCTGGAGTTGGCAGAACACCTGCTACCACAGGCTGAATACAACAGGCCATGAGACCTTTACTGAGGCAGGACTGGGCACTTATCAATGTTTTTCCCTTTGTGTATGTATACAACTACAGAGCTTGCATCAGGCCAGTGCTCAAAGAGCAGTTACCAAGATGTGCAGTAACTAGTATTTTGTCATGAAGGTCATTGCCTTCCAGGTCTCTTGTTCGAGATTGCACAAGAAGCTTTCCAACTGACAGCTTGGCTGAAACAGGGAAGATAAGCTGGCTAGCAAATCCGGTGTTCATGTAGCAACAGCAACCTGGGGCAGGAAGCTTTACTGAGACAGGACATTTGCCTAAGGTACTTTGGAAATTCAGGAATTCAGCACCTGTATGTGGCTCCTTCCTTAAATCCTCACATAGGTTTCTGGCAGGGATACTTCCTGCAGGAGACTGTCACTTGAATCAGACACCCATGTATGGAAGAGACTAAAATAGTGTCAGAACTGATCATCCCAACATACCAGGATTTTCAGTGGGCCTCTGTTGCTGTTGATCCTGATTGATGCAACAGGCATCATGCATGTGATGAATGTTATTTTTATAAACAAGTGTAGTTCTTTGTTTGCTTTGCAGCTGCTAAAAGTCAAGAACACTTCTTGTAGAAGGATGCAGTATAGCAGGGGTGTCAAACATAGCTACTCCATCCAGTCCATAGACTACTGGTGGGCCACTGGAAGTTGGGGGACATAGCCTGGGGTGTGGCCTGCCAGAGTCCAGGCCCTTGGGTTCTAGTGGACATGGTGAGCAGCGGCAGGCGGGTGAGCGAGGGCTGATACAGCCCTGGTCACCATCTGGCTGTTTAGCCTGTCTGCACTACCATAGTCCTACTTCCTTCTCCACTGGCCCTGCTGCCTTCCCATGCTGGAGGAACCTCTGCTGTGTGCCCTGTTCCCTGCCCCAGAGCTGGAGGTACCCAAGCTGCTGCCACTGCCCTGGGCTGGATCTGACCTGCAATGAGCCACACAGTCTGGACCTGGCCCAGAGTTTGACATCCCTGCTGCAGAGCTATTTATGGAAGACAACCACATCCTCCTCAGGCTCGACCAGAACGATGCCTGCTCTCATCAATGCAAGACCTGGAATGAGGCTCATTCACAACCTTCTCCTCTGCGACAGGAGGAAATGGCAGTGGCAGAGATCGGGGAAAGGCAGTGGGGACGAGGCAATAGCAGTGGCAGAGATCAGGGGAAAAGGCAG